AGTCTCTACAGCCAAGTACACAGAACCTATACAGCTACAGCCAAGTACACAGTCTCTACAGCCAAGTACACAGAACCTATACAGCTACAGCCAAGTACACAGTCTCAAGTACTTAGTCTCTACAGCCAAATACACAGTCTCAAGTACTTAGTCTCTACAGCCAAATACAGTCTCAAGTACTTAGTCTCTACAGCCAAATACACCGTCTCAAGTACTTAGTCTCTACAGCCAAGTACACAGTCTCAAATACTTAGTCTCTACAGCCAAGTACACAGAACCTATACAGCTAAGTACAGAGTCTCAAGTACTTAGTCTCTACAGCCAAGTACACAGTCAAGAAGAACTGGATCTCGACAGAGTGGTCGCGACACCCAACACGAGTTCTTCCTTTGCGTCACGACTAGCACGAGTTCTTCCTTTGCGTCACGACTAGCACGAGTTCTTCCTTTGCGTCACGACTAAGTATTTGCTCGGGGCAAATCATGATAGGGCCTCGCTCCACTGCACGACATTTGGGATGTATCTAGACTGGGTAGGGCTATCGATGCATTTAAAATAAACGTTGGATCATCCCTGATGTATCCGGTCCACAATTCTGTCCCGGTACAAGTAGAACATTGTGTCATGTGGCAACGCCCATGGTGTCAAATAGCACTCGCCCATCTATGCATATCCTTCTCTACACTTCCAACCCCCCCCCCCCCTCCATCCGCGCCGCAAAGAGGATGGGATTGAACGCCTGAATCTGGATGTGTTTTCCGCTGGGATGCAGAAACGCAGATCAATCCCGATTTTCTGCGCCTCTTCGACAAACAAGCCCAGATTCAAACGCTTTTAATCCTCCTTGCTACTAGTGCGACCTCGCCCCAGACTACTGGTAGCCACGGGATACGGGGTATTGGTTTCTTTTTTTCTGTTTCTTTTTTTTTTTTTTGTTGGGCCCATTTCTCGATTTATGCGTGTCATATCCTTGCGCAGAGGCCATGCTAATCTTCCTTCTCTCTATCGGCCCAATTTTAGCGGATGTCCCGAAGGACCTTTTTTTTTTTGTTTTTGTCGAAACATTTATCAGCTATTGTATTGATGCCTTTTTTTTTTTTTTTCTTTTAAGAGCTACGGCCTAGAGATATCATCAAAATTCAACTGAGGGCTCAAAGAATTAGCCTTAAAAAAAAAAAAAAAAAAACATCAACTGACCGGCCCTAGGTATTCACAATTGCCGTGCGTTGTATTCGGGGGTGTATTTCCGCTAGAGTTCGAGCTCGAGTCTGTTTCCTTTTTTTTTTTTTTTTTTTTTTTTGGTGGTCCGATGGACCGCTAGGATCAGATATTAAACTGATCAGAACAGATACAGTGCACTTGATCTTACTTAGCCAAAAGGCCGAGAAAGGTATTGGGTCTGTATTTTCAGCACTTCCGGGTTGTACCAACTGAGCTATATACCCTGGGTAGCCCAGTTGGTATTGTCGATAGACTACAGTTAAAAAAAAAAAAAAAAAAAAAACGGGTGACGGCCTTTAGATATCATCATGAAACAGAGCGGCCCGAGGTTATTCAGAAATATGTAATTTTAATTTTCGTTAATTAATCTGACTGCATCTGGATTCGAACTTGGGTCTGATTCATATTTCAACAGTTCATTTTGGTGTACAAACTGAGCTATAGGCGTGTTGGTATATAGACTACAGTTTTCTATTCTTTCCAATATGGAATACCTTTTTTCTTTTTTTTCTTTTTTGTTCTTTTTTGTTCTTTTTTTTTTCCTTTTGTTTTTTTAACGGTGACCGTCGTCAGGGGTCCCCTGTATAGGCTTAGACTAGCGGTGGGTAGGTAGAGAAGGTGAATTTAAGAGAAGAATATAGCTTAGTTATAAACAATAAATAAATAAATTTACATAATGATAAAATTGAAAAATCTCGAGCTGACCAGTCCCAGGTAATTTA